CCTCTAGGACTTTCTTGTGGCCTACCAACTGAGAAAAAGAATGGTTGTGTCATCTTATTGCATTGTGTCCCAGAACAAAAGAAATGATTTCTGATGCACAAGACTGTTGTGGTGGAAGGGTTAAAAACCAGAGGAGTGCTCTGCTGTCTCTGTAAGTCATGTTCTTTGCTCTGAACTGGTAATTTCCACTTACAGTTCTTCAGAAATAAACCCCTTTGGTTTTGTTTTCTGTATAGTCCTGAGACACTGCAGTAGTTTGACAGTGGAATCCTTACGTGTTGAAAAACAAGTACTTTAGTTACTGTAAAACAACTGAATGGGAGGGTAACTAATAAGCTAACAAAATGCCTAAAATAACCTCTGTTTAGACAAGACTGTAGCATTCAGTGTGTGGTACTGCAAAACATTTCAGGGTAAAAACATGTTCTGTTCCCATGGCATTAATTTTATTTCTAGGATTTTTAGTAGCAAGACTTTCTGAGATTTCAACAAGGGTGCATTTTTAGGTCAGAGAAGCACAGTCGGATCTGTCCTGTAAGGTGTACATCATGGGGGAAGGCAGGGAAATGCTTCTTTAGTGGTTGAATTAATTTTAAAGTATCTGTGATTTGAAGATGCTCACGGGCTTTGTTTTGAGATTCTTAAATAAGACCAAAAGTAGCAAGTAGTGAAGGTATAATGTTCATGATGAATGTGTGATAAATGCAGTTGGTTACATATATCTTTTACATACACTTTATCACCAAGTGTGTTCCACTTTTGCATTTAAGTGTATATTCTGTTAAAAAAGTGTGTACATATGTGTGTTGCTTAGGGATTCTCCTGGATGAAAGTTGATTATATAAGTGTAAATCACTCTTTTCCTTGTTGGTTTTCTAGCAGTAAATCCTTCCATTATTTCCTGGCTATCCAGACCTTATGACACAGTCTGTCCTGTGCTGCCGTATGTGTGAGAAGGCTTTTTATGGGGAGCAATCAGGCTGGACCCCAATCTCTAGTGCAGTGTTTTTTTTCTAATTAAATTGTCACTGGAAGGAATATCCGGAACAGCAGTTTTCATTTTCAGTTGAGGAAAAAACATTATGAGTCTTTGTCATTTGATTAAAAGTTACTTAACCTTTAAATTGCTACAGATGTAAAGATAGCTCTGGGTTTCCAATGTAATCGCCTCCAAGTTAAAATCAGGAAAATCTTTGTGTAATGAAACCCATATGTCATAGTGAAAGGATGCAAAGCACTGGCAGAGTGGGCTGCTCTAGCAGGAGATTCTGCACCCAATCTTGTTAACCAGGACTGCTTTTGGTAATCCCTCATCTCCTCACTTGTAGGAAATCAATCTGTACTACTGAATCTTTTCAACCAGCAACCACAAAATTTACTGCGGAGAGGCAGCTTGGGGACAATTCTAGTAGAAAAGGAGCCCCAGACAACAAGGCTAAATGCAGGATTGAGAGATTGAAGTTTTAAAGAGGAGATTATATTAAACCTTATTCTGCTCCCCTGTCAAGTAGAAATGGCTCCTCCGTTCAGGCCCAGCCTTTCCTAACCAGTACCTGTTCTTGAGACCTGCTTGGCAGATGTTGCCAGGCAGCAAACTTAATTCACACAGCACAGCATTTTCTGTTAATTATATTAGCTGGTGCCATTTTCAATACATTGCTCTGAAAGAGTCTATTCAAGCACTCAACTTCTGTTAAAACCAGTGCTGATAACATGTTACAGTGGTTTTTTCTATGGTCTTCAGTGTCCTCTTCCTCTTCCCTTATAGGTGAGACTAATTTGTATCCAAGCTATTGCAATCATAGCCATTGTTGATTTTTCTATTGTAGTAGATGCACAGCATAGGCAAGGTTGTAAATCGTGACTTGACATGGAGATTCATGTTTCTGTTTCATGCTGCACAGCCTGTGTAGTGTCTGTTGCTGGTACAATGAAACCTGCACTTGAGCTCTCTCTTCACTGTGGTTTAAGCAACCATTGTAAAGAAAAAATCCCTAAGGTTTTCACTACAGTTTTGTCCAACCTTTTAATTAAAAAAATCCACCTCTTTCTACTATGCAACCGGCTTCTGCTGGTCCCTTGGGTAGCTGCTTAAGGCAGGTTTTACTGTCTTTCTTAGGCAGCAATCATCTTTAGAATGTGGGTGATGGTTTCTTCATTCACAAGCTCTACCCTCACTCCAGGAAGCTCCAAAAGCCCCCACTGGAAATGATACTCCCCTTATTAAGTATTCATTTATCAGAAGCAATACTGAACAGAGGAGTCAATTTAATATCAGGCTTTTCTGCTCAAAACCCAAGCTCAAATCATACTCCAGTGCAGATTAAAGAGGAACAAAGGGGAAGGAATAGCTGAGGCATTTGAACACAGTACCGTGCAATATATATTTGTCCTGTTACCAGGATTACAGTGAACTGTAGTTCTTGGGCAGATAAGAAAAGCAGCTGAAACAGGGAAAACAATGGTTAATGGTTGTAAACTAAGGGCAAGTTTCACCCGTAGTTTGGATGTGATGTTTTTTGTGTGTGTGCTAAGAGGATGTTATTTCCTAGCCATTTTCATACACATACAACAATGTAAGGTCCTTTTTTATTTTTTTTTTCAGTTTGGCATCATATCTTTAAAAATAAAGCTCCAATGCAAGCCTGAGTGTGTGAGAAGAAGAATACAGAATAGCAGAAGGCTGTCTTCTGCTCCTAATGGGATTTTGTAGCAGCATGTGCGAGTTTGTTTCAGAAGTCAGAAATGAACAGATGTTGGTATAAATTACCTCTGTGTCTGATGTCTTGCAAATTAAAAGCGCGGTTGGCATCACTAAACAATTTCACCAGGTTGGGGGGGGAAGCGGGCGGTGATTATTGTAGCAGGTCGGTAAGAATCTTAAGCTGCAGCAGAACAGGATAGCAAGGATAAAGGAATGAAGAATAAAATGAGAGGTCTGTGAATTAATCAGAAATGTTAACATCTCCAATGACAAGTGAACAGGAGGGCACGTGCTCTGGAGCAACCCCCGACCCACAGTAATTTCATTCAGCACACAAAAGGAGTCTGTGCTCTCTGCCTGATTTATAGGGTGCAGCCCTCTTTGGGGGAACAGAATTGTCATCCATTCGTATATCTCCTATATGGGACTTGCACTCCGGAAAACTTTCCACTCCGTCAGCTACAGTTTGGCTTTGTGCTTTCCCTGTTAAGAGTGCTTTAAAGCCACGCATTGTTGATGGTCAAAGAACTGGTGCTGAAAATCCATTCCTAGCTGAGATTTTTAAAGCTTTCATTTTTATTTAATCATGTCATTTGTGTATAACAATTTAGTTCCTGGCAAAATAACAATCCACTCTGCCCTTCTGCAGCACCTTCTATCTAGGTGTCACTTCAGTAGCACTTGAAAGATAAAAGCTATCTTGTGGATGAGGAAGTAGAGATACAAATGAGTACTTACTGTGGTAGTTCACACTGTAAATCAGAAGCAGAGTTGGGGATGGATCCCAGATGATATAATTCACAGCTGGAGGGATGAACCAAGCAAATAATGCAGTGATCCGTTTGAATCTACAGCTAGTCTGAACCATGTTCCACTCATGGCAGTGCACTTTGAAGCTATGAATATCAGTATGTACCAGCCAGTTCATAATACCATTAATTGTTTTATAGGGATCTGGTTAATGGCAATACCTTGTGATGCAATTCTGGGTAGATGAATTAAAATGTAATCGTTTAAAGGAGAGCTATAAGGCACAAATTCTAACCTTCAGGTAAAGAATAACAAAATGTCTTTACTTGAGGGTCTGTACTGAGTTTTTTAAGCTGAGCTTTTTTATTGCATTTTAGTTCTGTTCTAACAGATAATTAGTAATGTCAAAAGAAAATCCGACATCAGCACCAAACCCACCTCCAGTTTTTATGCTGATGGTTATTTCTGTTGTTCCTTTCAGTAGAGAGGTCAGGAATTGGATGGATAAAACAGAAAATTAATTCCCATCTCCTTCCAGAGTCTCTCTAGGTGTGGGTAACATGCATGCTTTCATCAATCCTGTGAATAAAACCTTCATGTTTTGATGCCTGTCAGTCTGACACAAAGCTTACACCTTTATTAAAAAGAAATGAAGGGAAGTGCCATTGGAAAGATTGTCTTTCTCCAGGACTCAATTGCTAATTGTGTTGTCTTTGATACATTATATTGTTATTGCATGACAAAGATAGTATTAGGGTTGCTCTGCCAGCTTGTGAGCTTATGGGCTCACAAGTCAGAAATGGGCAGAAAAGTGGCTGTGTAAACCCTGCTGTAATGCAGCTACCAGAGATTGATGGTGCCAGGAGTGAGAGCGAGACATATAAACCTTGCCTTGCTGTATTAAACATCGAAGGACTGACAATGCAGAGAGAGATAGAAGACCAAAGCTCTATAAACTTTACTTTATTACACCATCCATAGATGAACTGCATTGAAGGAATATAAACCCCATTATATTACAGCATCCAGGGACTGACACTACTGAGAGAGAGAAAATGCTGTCTAATTTCTGTTGAAGATCATAGCAACCAGGGACCAATAATCCTGAAATGGAGATAGTTCCATAATCTCTGACAGATTATAACATCCAGGAACAATTGCGCTGAGATAGAGTGATGGAAATCGGGATTACACCATTCAGAGATGGATAGTACAGAGAAAAGGAGATGCTGCGAGAGCATAATGCAGTAGGAATACAAAGTGTAGATTGAATGTAATGAGACAGCCTGTGGGAATTATTGCTGAGTTTAGAAAATTCCAGGCCCTGCCTGGATTTCTAGGATGTCAGGAATTCAAGATGGAATGCAGTTTTATTTATTTTTCCACTTATAAATAAATGAAAAAACCAAAGATTCTTACTACTGGCATAAGCAGAAATATAAAGGAATTTCATATCCTCTGGTAAAAGTCTGTAAATTAGGGAATTGTTTGGGTTTCCTGGCTTTTTAAAAAATACTAATCTCTTTTTCTTCCCTTGTGATTTCAGCTAGAGAAATGACTCGAGGGAAATTCCTGAACATCCTGGAAAAACCCAAAAAGTAGCTGCTACATCTGGAATTTGGACAGAAATACCCCAGCTAGATCATTTTATGTACTGCGGATCCAGATGAAACCTAGAACTTCTGCAAACCTCTTGCTCTAGACCTCCAGAAGCAAGCATCACTTTTCGCTTCCACAGCTCATTTCCTTACAGAGATGTATGGCATGCACATGTCACAAGGACTGCAATTGGTTGTGTTGAACTTTGGACTTCATCTGACCCAAAGATGTCCAACAGGAGGACTTAGCCCTGACATGCTGTGGCAAAGTTACCTGTCCTAATCAGCTATTCGGAGGGAACAGCCATAGTGTCCTTACTCAATTGCTGTCAGTGGCAGCACCTGTTTGAAGTACACAGCAGACCTGTCTCATAAGGCATTGGCCCTTTGAGCATCCTTTCTTAGATGTACTGATTTCTTATGTGCAGCTTCTGTGCTGAAAGATTTGAGCATAATTTGGGGTGTGGATTGACCAAGAGCACTGGTTCAGCAGGAGCATATGCTTTTAGTGTAGAAGCTGAATGTAGTCTGTGCATTAAAGTTACTCACTGCCTTTGAGAAGCGTGTCTGGTACTCTGAGGAGGACCTCCAGAGCTTTGGTGTAGCAGCAGCTTCATCTCACTGCCAAACAGCTCTCTAGTGAAATTGAGACTGACAAACCATAGGAAGTAAGAGGTATTACTGTGGCATGAAAGAAAATACCCCTACAGAAAGTTCAGTGAGTACACAGCTTTGTCAGCCCCCTGCCATTCTCTGCTTCTTACAGAGCTAGAAACTGAAGTAAATGAAAAATTGAAAGGCAATAATATTTTCTGGTAGTGCTCCAAGAAGGACCAGCAGGACTGTTAGCCACATTGCGAGGGTGGTCCGCTTATACAGGATCTTACAATTTCTGAAAGTAACATTTTGTGGTATTTTTAATAACTTCTAAAGCAGCAACCCCCAAATTTGCTTTCCCTACAAACCCAGAATTTTTAAACAGAATTTTCTGTGACCTGGTCTCTTTCAGCACACAGTTTTGGGTTTATTAATCTTAGTTTAATGCCTTTTCCTTCTGTTAATGCACATTAATGTTAATGTTGCCCCCTGAGACGAGAGTGAAGGGACATGGTCAGACTTTTTGTTTAATTTAAGAGAAAAAATTTTTCATTTCATCCTCTTCCCTTGTCTTAGAAAACAACATTTTAAGCATTAGTACATACGTTCTTTTTAAGGCACAACATAATATTGAAGCACTGGATGGAGAGCAGGGTTTTTTCTCTATTTAGGGATGTTATTCTTCCCATGCAGGCTTTTTAAAACTTGTAATTTCCCAGGCTGCAGTCACAGGTGAAAGGAGAAATGACTTGGAAATAGTACATGTAACAGTCTGCGCTAAAGCATTGCGTTTTTCTGTCTTTGCAGAGAGAGGTGACTCTTCTCAGATGTATGTGCCATAAAGAGGAGATTTTTTTTAACCAAGTTCACCTCTCAGAGTTTTTACTAAAATGCTGGTGGCCTTTTGTTTTGCAGTCTGTAATCTTGGTTATTACTGGTCAGAACTAGGATCATTTTGTACAGCGCCCGTTAATCTGATACTAAGCAGTTAAATCCCGCATCCCAGGAAGACCCTGCACAAACCTGAATATATAGGAATGTCATACATAGGAATGTCAGGAGTATGATTTTTAACTCAGTGGATTTACTTCTGTACTTCTCAGTTTATGCAAGGCTGAGCTTAACAGGAACTCCATCTCTTGAGAACAGGAAGGTTAAGACAGATGAATGTAAAGAGAAGCTCAAAGTTGATTATTAGGAGTTGGGAAACCTGCTGGTGTGAGCTGATGTTGATGTAGCTTTAAGTATTAAATTGTACCTTTTGAATGAAACTTTAAGTTTGTATACTGTATATATAATACATATACACATATATGACATAATGGAATACTTCATCTGCATCACCAGTATAAGTTTGTGCGTTTTATAGAGGTTTGTTGGTCCAACACATTAAGGAGTTGAGGTCTGAAAGGAGGAGCAACTTACGAAAAGCCTGGCATGGAAGTATATGTATATTTTCTGCTATGTTCAGTAAGGCATTTTGAACTTTAGGTAGTTTTAATAACATGCAGGTGTTTCTAAAAACAAAACAAAAAACCCTTTTACCGTATGCAATACTTACCTTCTATAGGGCAGCCAGTAACATATGCTTTAGCATAGTGATATTTATTGGCTTTATACTTGTCATCCGTAGAGACAGGTGAGTGATGTATTTTTTTTATTGGTAATATTTATGTATTTTTGTTTGTTAGCCAGAGGATTGTAGTTTGTCTGTTACTGGTTTGTGGTTTGATAATAAACAAATACAAAGCTCAGAGATCTGTCTGGGTTTCCAAAACAGCCCTCGGAGATGCAAAAGCTTTGGCTTAGCCTCTTAGGCAATACTGTTTCTCAGGCTCTTCACACTTCTGTATGCCACTACCTAAAGGTTTGGCCTATGGATTCTCCATCCCCATCAGTAAATTAATGTTTGTCAATATCCAAATGGCACTAAGGGTTTTCATACCCTTTTGAGTCCTGTTTTTTTGCCTTCTCTTATGTCCTTCCTGACATCCCTCCAGTATCTATCTATACAAGAAAATCTGTGACTTCTTGTTCCCGATAACCTTCTGTATTTTGAAACAAACAAACAAACAAAAGTTTTGATAAATGGTGGAAATGAAGAGTATAAGAAAATCAAGATTTGGTAATATTAATCAAGCTAATGCATTGCTTTATTTCATGTGTTGGCATGGTAAGTGTTACTGTGAAGTTCTTGGAAATAAACCCAATATGTATTTAGTTCCTTTTAAATGCCAGTGTTGCATATATTCAGTCGTAAAGGCTACTCACTTCAGTATCAAATGCTTTGCTGTTTAATCCAGCTGTGAAGAAATTCTTGTTTTCTGTGTTAATCAGTATAAAAATAAAAGTCTAGTTGCACTGGCAACTGAAGAGCACAATATTCCATTTATCTCAGAGTTTTGCCATGACAAAATCAACGGGTTTTGAACAATCCTATAACTCACAGTTCTCAACTTTGCTTTGTATTTCCCTCAACAAGTCACCCTGTTGAAATAACAGATGAATGAAAATTGACTAATTCAACTTTGAGGTAACGTTTGAACCTTGTTCTGGTTTATAGATATTTTTACATTACATGAAAATGTAAGATGCAATTACAAGTCAAATAACAAGCCCATCTGATCTGCAATCTTCTCCTTGATTATACACAGTTGTAGAAGGATAGGGAAATATATAAACAAAAGGCTTACATGATATATTTTTGCTTTAAGGTAACTTACACAGCATCCAGCAACCTGTTTTAGTTGAATCAGGTCAATTGTAGACCCTGCTCTCCATAAATTTGCCTTAGTCCTAATTTGTCTGTACTTTGGCCTCTAAAATGGCCCTGGACAGTGAGAAAAGAAGAAGGGATGTGGGGGATGTAGTTCATTGTTTGTTTTAAACCTGCTTACCTGGTAACTCTATTTTGAACCTTACATTTGCTTTATTGTTAGAAACAGTTGTTTTTTTTTCGTTCTTTGTTGTCTGTGCATTACTTATAACTTCTCAGCTCCTGCTATGGTTTTGATTCCATGGTTATGTGCACCTTCCTTATGTTCACAATGTTCAATTGTCCGTTTTCTATTACAGCCTGACATGGCACAATCAAAACTGCAGAGTATTCAGAGTGCAAGCATACTGTGGAGGCGTGTAAATCCTAATTGCAGCTTGTATTTTGTTCCTCTGCTGTTTTCTGCCCCATCATCATGGGCTAAATCCTGTTCTGAGTATCTCAAAGAACAGGATCATCACTTACACCTGCAGTCTGTGCATGCAGCTGATCTCACCCACTTCATCTTCATCCACAGCAACTTTTCTCTGGGAAGCAACACTTTTTCCAAATCATCACAGTTAAGGCCAACCACTTCATGTTGAGGAGGTGATACCAGGTAATCCGATCATCAACCTATGCAGTACATGAAAAAGATAAATTACGTTGTTGTTGTATGGTCTGAAATCCTGGACTCCTATCCTACCACAAGTTCAGTAATATTGCATAGACATTTCTGTAATACTTCTAATAGCAGTTTTTAGGCATATACAATAAAAGAAAAAAAACTTGTAAATTATTATTGCAGAAAAATCCACAAACTGATATATATATCTGCTCTTCTAGAGCTAACACTCATTCACAACACCAGAGATATCTTGATGAAGGCATTTACTCACATTTACTCTTGAGTTCTGCCTAAGGAAAAACCCCAGGCAACAAGGGTATTGTAAGGGGGAGATAATGTCTTCGAGGAACACAGCATACCAACTTAATACAACACGAAAATAATCCTTCCTTCTTAGTGTTGGGCCCCTATTTTCATATGCCATTCTGTACTGACACTTGTCATTAAATAAGCAGACTTTAGTAGAAAATCATAATTCACTGAAAGACAATTTTCCAGAAGGTTCTCTCTGTGTCTTCAGCCCAGCACAGTAAGAGTTGGACAGACAATTCCCATGGGCCAACAAACTCTAAATGGAATAGAATTGCTTAGAATAGCAAGTACAAATGTTGTAAACACATTACTGTAATCACTACAGTTAAAAACTTCCCACCACAGAAATAACAAAACCCATGACTCCTACATGCACATCCCAGCATATACATCAGCCAGTGTGCCATATGCTTCCAAAAGTATTGTATATGTGATGCCAAATGCACATTGCCCTGATAAAAGCCAGACGTTGATACTTTTAAAAGGCAAGAAAATAAGGGGGGGGGGGGGGGAGGTGAAAAAAAAAAAACCTGAAGAAAGGGAAAAAGAAATTAAAAAGACTGGATTCTTTTGGTTTCCTGTCATAGTGTGATTCCTGGAATCAAAGCTATTCTAGAGGCGTGTTATCTCTGTGAACCAGTCCTGACATCAGTGCTTTGCATTTCATTCAGGAGGATGTGAAATGCAAAATCCTGAAGTCAGTTGTGGCCAGTCATAAAGATATTTAAAAGCTTAAGTGTCCAGAGAAGTATGGATTGATTCAGTTTCTATAGAGTGTAATCCACGTTCTACCTAGAATATGTGTAATAATGTTTTCATTTAGACTGTGCTAGATTTTCATCATGGCAAGATCTCTTTACATTTTGACTTTATTGTCCAGTGAAACTGTTGATTTTTAGACTTGACCTTTTCCGTCATGTCCCTTTGAGCAGGATGACTGACTTCAGGCAGCTAATGTGTGCTACAGAATAGGCATTTTCTTGTTGGGTTTGTGTGGTTGACCTCTGGCCTGCCTGCTGATTCCTATAATGCAGATCAGTGACCAGTGAAGCCAGAACCTTCCCTGTCTGTCTCTGTTACAGACATCCCAGTAAGGAACAGAAAAGAGGAAGAGGGCTGAGCTTGAAAGCCCTTACTTAATTGCTAGTGGAAAAAATGGGTAATAAGAATGACCTTGCACCTTATTTATTGACCAGCTCTCTGAGGGGACAAAGTACTTGACTTGGTTCTGTATCACTTGAAAGGCTGGCTCCTTGGCCAATAGCTGATGAGTAGGCGTAATAATATAGGGTAATTAAATTTTGTGCTTGCAGGCATTTGAATGCCAGGGAGGATTCCCCTCCCAGAACACCAAGCACATCTAGCAACTTTCCTTGTAATCACAGAATTTTAAAGCTAATTCTGAAGCATCAGACATTTCCTATTTGCCATCTTCCACTTACCGCAATAGCCCAAAATGCTGTGGGTTATGTAGGAAGAGGCAGGAAGAGGGCCCATCAGCTACAGAAGAAGGAGGGACAGGAGAATAGCAGAGTGACCCAAGCACTCACAAACACCCAGGCTGCCTGGTTCTGTGGTCTTATTTTTGTTTTCTTCTCTCTGTATTAAAGTAACCTATTAGTTATAGCTAGCTAAATGATTTATTTATATATAGGTCTACTGGCTATCCTCAATTGCCTTTCACTGGCACCTCTCTCTTATACTCTGCATGGATCAGTTTGTCACCCTATTTTAGGTTTCTCCCCATGCTTAGCCCACTAAGGCTGAATAGCACATGTAAAACTGGGGGACAAATCGCTTCTGCTGGGGTGTGTTATAGGAGGGATAAGGGTACGCCCTGATGTGCAGAAGGATCAGTTTGTAATCAGCTGCATGAGAGGCAGAGGGGTGTGCAGACCCTGAGTTTCCTTAAGGGGATCAGCTGAGGTATTTTGCTCAAAATGAGCTTGTAAAAAATTAGGAAAATGTTTTGCTGAAGAATACTTGGTCGATGATGGTGTCTCAAGGAAGCGTCAGGTTGAAAGTTAGAGGGAGTATGTGTCTGCCTTTGCCATGTTTTGATCAGGAAGCTTGAGCTGGGGCCTCCTATCCACTTCACAGCTGCTTCTGGAAATTCCCATGTTTTCAGGCTCTTGTTTACACCCATGCCCCTTCCCAGCCT